GTCACAGGGTCCTCAGAACAGTCTTTGCGGGCTCTCTTGATGAGTGGGTTGTGTTCAGGCTCCAGGTAAGATTCTCAGTGATGTGTACTCCAAGGACCACACACACACATTATTTATTTATATATACACACACACACACAGGCCTGGGCTTTAAGCTCCCGGTCCATCCATCCACATCCAACCTTACACACACACAACACACACACAAAGCAGCACAATGCAGATTATTATTATTTTTTATTAATATGACTTACAGGTCAAATTGTTACCAACCATTAAAACCTGATCATCGCTCCCTCACAGCAAAAATCTACTGGTTAAAGGCATTCAAAAACAGAAAATTAATTGCTATGAGCCTTGTGAAAGAACGTTCTCCAGTAGTTAGGATTAAGAAAAGACATTTTCCTCAAGCACATTATTACCCTACAAATTATCTTTACAGTTCAATGAGACTTAGATCACATTTCTCCTTTTCATCATAGTGTCATTAACAGTCATAAAATCTCTGATTAGCTGTTGCTACTTTTATTGACCAGCCTCAGTATCTACCATTTAAATGCTCCACAAGAAAAAGAAACTGCCGAAGGCCGAGATAAATGAAGAGCACAAATCCACCTATTTGATGAAATATTATACATTTCTGACCGTGTATTAACAAAAAAACAAAACAGAGAAGAATTAATCTGGGGGGGGGGGGGGATTATCCAATTTGCCAATATTTCAATCAAATTTGAATTAGAATAATTCAGTCAGCAGGATTTGAATTTCACAGCAACAATTGATTTATTTAAAGTTGGTCATTTTAAATGGGCTTGACAAAAAACTTTAAATAATCCATCCAGACGTTGGCTGGGGTTTTGACCCTTCTTTATAATATTTTAACCCCACACAGCAGGGAGGGACAACTAATTCACATATACAGTGAATATGTGGCCACACTAAACACGACCTGTCCTCACACTTTTACACACTTGACATACTCCACCATTATCTGCAGAGAGCTTTCTGTCACACAAATACATTCAAAGCATGTGGACGCACACGATAGTGCAATCTTCTTCATTCCAATGATCAGTAATGTGCAGTAGATCATTCAGATATGACAGTTATTCATTATACAGCAGGAGATGTTACTTTGCAAGTGAAATACAGCAACTAGAAGATTTTAGGTGTATCTACGTCTTTTAAAAGCATTAGAGACCATTGTAACTGACTTAATGGAGGGGACCAGCCACTGTCCTCTACAAAGGAGGAAACTATCAACATAAAACCTTTCTAGCCTAAAGAAGGACAGTATTTCATACTAAAAGCATACATTTTGGGGTAAGTATAAACTTAACGGTGCGAGAAACAGTTTGATACAATGTAGGACAGTGACTTTAAAGGTGTAGTGATTAAAATTCTTACTGCTCAAAGAAGAAATAAGTTTTTAGATCTTCAGTTGATGTTTCAGTTTGATCTCTGCTCTAATTTGCTAGCCTGTTTATCCAATACAAACTACATTATGTCTGTGGTTTAAGTCATATTAAAACATAAATCAGGGGTATGGAATGGAAAGGTGGTTGCCACAGACTTGTGACGAAGAGAAGTTGCATCAACCTTGTGCAATTTCTTCATGATGTCTACAGCGATTGATAGATGAATGCCTCTTTTATAACACATACGACAAACAGCACAGTATCTTTTCAAATACCATGTTGGTCCTTGTAAGGCGAAACAACCAAACCTGATTTTGCTGTTGGTCTGTTCCTAACAGTAAAAGGCTCAAACATTATGTAATGTTCATAATATGAACTCAAATGGCTCAAAATGATGATTTCATTTGAGATTTTTAGATATCATTTTCTATTTTTGTGGCTTTGTTTCCATTTCACTTTGTTTTACATTGTCCATCCCCTGTTTACAGCCCACTCTTGATTCCCCCCCACATCATTACCCAGGAGAAGCTTGCTGTCTACCTTGCTCCAAAATGTATTCCATGTATATCACGTATACAATGGCGTTTAGGGAGGCTGATTATGGTGTTCATTTTGACAACATATAGATTGATAGAGTAGGAAAGGCTAAATTCCTTCAGATTGGTGACGATATGATGGGCTAATGCTGCCTGTACACAAAGAGTTGAAGGGTCACAACCAGGAAGTAAGGTTCAAAGGTCAGCTCACAGTTTGGACCGCAGCGGCTTCAGGTACTTGTGGAAGGATTCATGGACCTGGGGAAGAAAGGAGGTGTGGATAATTTGTTAAGCTCAAATACTAAGAAGCGACATAAAGAAATGTATATACAATCATACACGCGATCTTCCTGATCACATCAGTGTAGGATGGTATTTATGACTACATTTTGTGGTTTGTTATGGGCATCCTGATGCCAAATGATTGTGGTTGACCATACAGAGCACAAATGCAAACGTGCAAGCTTGGATAGTCAAAGAATTATTATTATAATTATTTAAGTTACTCCATCTTATAGTTCTGTAATCTGTAAAAATTATTTTTCTTATTTTACACCAAAATAGTAATGCTATCACGATTCCAAACAATAAAAACCACCAGTTTAACACTACTGCCCCTGCCAACCGATCCTCTCGCCAACAGATACACACACATTGAGAAGCTAAGATCTAAAATTACTAATTTCTTGAGACTCTGTCACAAACACATGTTGTCACAGCTATAGTAACTTATCTGAATAGTGATATGAGGCACTGAATTTAATTAATTTAACCACAAATGAGATAAGAATTAGGTTGGTAAAAAGTTACACAGTGCCACAGCGGAGGGTTTCTAGGGGCTGGTTAAGATTTTAGATTAGCTTAGTCAGGCAGATCTGCTCGGGGCTTCACTGATTATTGAACACAAACACACCTTTTATAACTTTATTCACTGATTTTGGTGAAACTGGATCATATTTTATGGATTTTATAGATGGACAGATAGCTTTAAAGTAACTGCTAACAGCTGCAAACTGTAATTTTACCTGATGTTAGCTAGTTAACTCAGTTAGCTGTGCAACTACAGACCCTATTAGCTTAGCTGACACTGCTCAGACTGGGAGCTGGCGCTCCGGGGAAGAGTTGGTATTTACACCGCTAGCAAAGGAGCTTTGGCTCGTCCAGAGGAGGAGGTTTTCAGGCTCCCGGTCCGGGAAGAGTCAGCTAGCTAATGGGATGTCTAGCTGCACAGCTAACTTGTCCCTTTTCCATGGGATGGCACCTGCGCAACTCGTCTCGACTCTTCTCGCCTTTTTGGTTTTCCATTGGGCAAATCTAGTACCTGGTAGGTTTTTTGGTATCACCTCCGTCGAGGTTCCAAGTGAGCTGAGGCGATACCAAAAGGTGATGTGAAAACACTGCAGACTACTGATTGGTCAGAGACAATCGTCACTATTCACTGATTCATCATTGCAAGTATTAAAGTGTGTGGTGCGTGGTGTGGGTTGCGTTGAACATTAAATCACGGCAGATTCATGAGGCGCTGCTTGCATAATAGTTCCCCCCTTTAAGTATTTCGGTTCAGTTTCTGAATGTGACTATTTGTGAACCTAAATGAACTAAAATTGATCACAATCTCATTGCATAGTTGGCGTAAGGAAAAGACGTCCACTTAGGCACGTACCAGCAGAGCGTCTGCAGGTCAAGTTCAATGGGGTGCAGGTATTTAGCATATAGCATATGTTGTGGCCTGTTGGTAGTTTTATGGCCATAAGCCTTAGCACTAATTCAGTCCCTTAGGCCTACAACAAAAAACTTTTTCTCTGTACCATTTGACTTGACTGACCTCTGTGGAGTTCAGTGGTGAGCTGCGAGCCCACTCAAACATGTGCTCATAGACGTTCCCATCATATCGTCCCAGGACCGAATTTAGCTTCTTGTCGTGAGTGTCAAAAGCATCTACCAGTGCCACAGCATTGGGCCTCAGTTGAGACAGCAGCTCCTTGATTCGCACAGAAACCTGCAGCACCTGGGGCACACTCAGCAGTCCATCCTAAAATAAAACAGATGTGGATGAACACATGCGGCTGGATCTCAAACAGTGAGGAAACAGCAGAGACAGCGGTTTGTCCCTGTGAAAGTACATTTTCTGACTTCAGAGCAAGCAAGTCTTATCTCTTATTTTTATCTAATTTGCTTTATTTAAATCAGCCATAAAAGACACCTACCACCCAGGTGTTCATACCCAACACACAAAGACCTCAGAGACAAAGAGGCACTCAGGGCTGGTTTTTCATATGGAAGCAGACAGTGAAACTGGCAGACCAACAGCACAGGGCTTACGCAAATAACCGAAGCAGCTTTGCACAATGAGTGTGTAACACCTGCAATAAGATTAACTATTGACTACGGATCATGTTGTTTCTATATGTTATGATTTTTCTGACCTGTAGGAAGTCTCCAGAGTGATTTGTGATGCCATGCAGGGCATAGAGCAGAGCCAGGGTTGACAGCACTGAGTGTATTGCTGTGTCGCTGATCTCCCCCAGCTTCTCGGTAAAGAGCTTCACTACAACATAGTGACAGTGGGCCTGGAGACCAAAAACACGGGGACACGTCAATGGATGAAAGAGACTTAGAGCAACAAATAAGAAAGAATGTGGCTGAAAAAGAAGAAACAATGATGAACATTAGCAGGATCTGAGTTTGACTTAAAGCAGCATCAGAATGACATACTGGGTTTGGGAGGTCCTCATCAATCTCTGCGAATCGAAGTCGAATTTACATAGGACAAGTAATGCATAGCACTGAAATATGTTGCTATTTACTATAATTTCAATGATGAGAAAAATCAAGGAAATGTCTGTAATGCCCCTGTAGAATGTAGGAAGGTCAACGTAGTGAGATCTTTCGTGAGCTCTGGCTTCATGACAATATTCATGCTTTAGCCACACTCACATGCGCGCGCACACACACACAACTGAACTTACATCTGAGGCTCTGACCAGGTCGATAGCACTGTTGTTCCAGGCGTCCTCCTGGCTCTTCCTGCGCTGCAACTCCTGCTGGATGCTTTTAGCTGCCAGCTCTACTAGACTACAAACACACACATTACCTGCATTAACCATAGATTATCACAATATATATTAACACAAATTGATAAAAAAAAAATCGGGATACCTCCCCAGCTTTAACAACATGCTGACACACATGTATCTACAGAGGCTGTCTCTTTACATGAAAATCTTTTCACAAATTGACCATCACCAATCACATCTATATTTTTTATAGGTTGGAATATGTTGAAGAGATCATGTCATCGGTGTCAGAAACACAGGCGAAACAATTGCTCATTGTCCTTTGCCTTCTATCTCTCTATTGTCTGAACTGGCAGACCACATTTAGTCGTCCTCCACCAGACTGGCTTAGCCACTGTTTATGCTCACCACACAGCTGACACCGACTGCCAAATGAATTTAGATTTGACTAAGGCCCACAGTATTCAGGGAAGCATATCATGTTAGAGAGTGAAGGCTGAAATATGGCGCATAGCAGAGAACAGCAGATGTGGGCAGACCCTGAGAGGACTATCTGGGTGACAACAACAACTGAAGCACTGGCCAACCCGAACGCCTGAGAAAAATATATTACACACTACTTCAAAAAATAAAGTTAAAAATTGTTTAAGAAAGTAAATCATAAATGTATACAATGAAAATGTGGAAAATAAAGGATATGAAATGGCAAAAGGCATTAAATAACTAAACATGACCATAGTACAAGCCACTTGGTCACTAGTTTTCTCTACTGCTTTCGTCTCTTACATCGCAGCTCGCAGTTTGTAGACCTCCACCAGGCTAGCAAGGTCATTTATGTTGACCACGGTTGGTCTGGCAGCGACGGGCTGAGGCTGGACCCTCTGGTGCTCTGCTTCATTCAGGTACGACACAATGCCACTGAGCTGCTGTCCTGCCTTAGCCTGCCGGTAGCTCTTCACCAGGTATCTGCATAGATAAAAGTACTTAGGTGAGGGGTAAACAATTAAACATGGGTGCACGAGCTAGCTAATGAACCATTTGTATTTTAAATCATGGAAATTAGCCATTCACAACACTTTTAGTCTTTGTGCTTGTACTGTTCAGGTATGAGCTCATTGGGTAATTTAACATTTCAGGAACTGTTGGCACTTCCTTTTCAGGAAACAATGTCCCTTCAAAAGGACAATATCACGTGACAGGATTTTGAATCTGAATCTGTGACATTTATAGCATCCGTGAACAAAAACTATAACAGGTATCATTTAAGGACATAAAATGTGACCTTTGTTTGCTTTTGCTGTGGGAGGAGTGCGGGTGTGTCCCCTGCATTTTCGGTATGGTAGGGCTGCTGAGTGGGAGCATGTTTATGTCTGCATGTGTCTCTGTTTGTGTCTGTCTTGCTCTCATTCTATTTAAGTGTGCAACAAAAGCGACACGTGAAAAAAGCTAAATCTTCAGTGAGAGTACCGCTGTTTGAGTACTACAGACTCGGTAACATTTAGTAGATATACTCTAAGTTTAAGTGGTACAACAAAAAACAAAAGCAAAGTAAAATTAAAACATAGCTGATAACTGTATGAGCACTCTAACAACAAAGGCATCTCTGGTGTGTTTGCGTCAGAATTGAGTAGAGAAGTTGGCAGGCTGTGAAATGGTCCTGGTGAGGTGTCACATTTGTGGTCATACATTTCTGTGTGGCGAGCTACCTTGCAGTCTGCAGCATCATGACTGTGTTCTCTCCCTCGTAGGTGCATGTAGGAGTAAACTCAACGTAAATGTCTGGCAAGGCGCTGCTGCGAGAGTAGCCGTGGCCACCGCATGACATGCGGCACACCTCGATACCAGAGTTGGTTTCCCACGTGGTGAATGCCTTCAGTCCCGCAGAAAGGGCATGGAGCTGTAGATTGGAGAGCAAAAAGGGTGAAAATAGGTTCATGTAAGCCTAAAATAAAAAAAAACAAAATCAAATAAATATGACAGCGAGCTCTGACAATATAGAACGATGTAACAGCCCACATCAATTTATGTATGTACTACAATTAGCTGTGGATGGCAAATTTTTATTTTCAATATAAGTTCCTATATTTCAGTATTTAGTATTCAGTTTACAAGTATAAAAAGACTTTACAACTGGAAACTGAAATATTAGGCACAGTTGCTCTCTGTGGACCTGTTATGAACTGCAGATAAAACTGAAAAGAAGAGAGCACAGAACTGTGAGGACCCAAGTGAAAACCTTCTAGCTCAGTCAGAAAACAAAAATGTAGAGTCATTTCCAAGATATGCAACTGAATTTCTCACTCTTTACTCGTAAATAGTCTACTACAAAATATTTTAGCTTCAACTACAATAGCTGTAGCCAATGTTGTAAATACTGATTATCAGGGTTTGCTAGGAGTGGAAAGACCTTGTGTGAAAAAAAAAAAAAAAAAAAAAGTCTATTGACGTGACTAAAAAATGAAAAACAGAAAAACAGTGGGCACGAGGTGTGGTTTCAGTATTATGCTATTTGCAAATTGATTTTACGTTGCAGCTCTTAATTACGGATTCCAGACGGAGGGATAGAAGCGTGTATAGTCAGTATTTAGTAGAATAACTATAGTTTTGTTTGAAGAATTTGCAAGCTGTGTCTGCTTTCATATTGAGGGACCAAGCTGGCATTGATGCCAGAAAACAAACCTTTCCGGAGTTTAGATGATTAAACTGGGTTTTGCTTGTAGCACATGACACTCACCACACATCTCCTCAAGATAGCTGGAAAGACTTTACCTACAACCCAGACAGTCAATGTGCATCATCCTCCACCAGTCAGTCATCAATAATTCCTAGATGTGTATGTCCAGTCAGTACCTCAGGCAGTTCACTGAAGTCCCCCTCGTTGATGTCTCCGCTGATGCGGTTGTAGGTCTGCTTCATGTACTGGCCGACAAAAGTGAAGGCATAGGCCGTAGCAAGCAGAGGGAACAGCTTGTACTGCTGCGTCTGGTAGTCGAGGATCTGGGGCTCTGGCTCTCTGTGGGACAGAAACACCCAGGTTTGACTTTTCAGTATTGCATAAAAGGTTGCACTTCCCTATTATACGTGAGGATGTGGTAAGAGACCAAAGCACTGTAAAACCAGGGCCATTTCTATTTGCTGTTGGAATTATGTTGTTTTCTAAACCTCTGACACTGACCCTTGAGTCTATTGTAAATTTCATGTGCTGAGTCATCTTTTCTAGGTGACCTATCAAGACATTATCATAATTATTGTGATTGTATTCACATACCACATCATCTGGTCCATATATTTACTGTATAGTCCTCCATGTTCTTGAATTGTGTTTTCTTGATCTTAAAATTAAGGCTGAAGTTTACCATTCAGTTAAATAAAATAATTTATTCACAATTTGATTCTTTGATTTGAGACTTTTCCCTCACATAAATGTTTTACACTCTCTTAAAATGAAGTGCTATATTTGTTTTTACTGTGCAGCTGTTTGCTCAAGTGCCTTGATGCATTCCTTTGTATTGACTGACCCCGGCCGGATTTCCGACTGGTGACGAACAGAACTGTAGCGGATGGCGATGGTGCAGGACTTGGCCAGGGCCGAAGCTGACTCGCCTACGATCAGGGAGCGGATGAACACCATGGTGCCGTAGGTCAGCTTGGAACTTGGTGGCTTCACATAGGTTCCATCTGGCTCCACCTAGTGGACAGACAGAGTCTTTCTAACGGCAGATCCTTCAGGAGCAGAAGTCTCACTCTAAATGCAATATTTAGACTCAGTTTGTTATTACACCAGCTTATTAGGTACACCTAGCTAAAAGTAATGCTTTCATATACAACAATCTTGGAATAAATTCTGCCTTCATGAAGCACAATAAGGTTCAGCTATAGTTGAAACTGTTTTAGACTGGTGTTAATTTAACTGTATGGTCATTATGGAGGATTCAGTTTGTGGTGCTGTTGAATTGCATTGTGTTATTCTGACAGATGTTTCATTTCGTCTAACTCATGGGAGGTACTGTAGAATAAATATCAGAAATATCTCTGTATAATGCAATGCAGTTCAACAGCACCACAAACTACATTCTTTCTAAATGACCATACAGTTTAATTAACACCTCTACATCTCTACACATTATAACATAAGATGAGAGATGAGACAAGACTATTGCAGGACCGTTGTATTAAGCTGCATTACTTCCGACAGCAATAACAATGTAATCAACTTAAAAAGTTACATAAACCCATTTGACCTCAGGGAAATTATCAACACAAATGATGTCACATCACCTTGGCATATTTCATCAGCATGTTCTCCCGTGGGATTCGTACATTGTCTAGTTTCAGGAAGCCATTGTCCACTTCATTAAAGCCAAACTTGGGTCCGATATCTCCAACCACAATACCTAAGAGAGAAGGCGAAAAAGAGAGAGCAAGCGAGTGTGTGAGCAAGAATGACAGTGACAGAAAAAAGGCACACAGAGACAGGAAGGTGAACAAGGGACTGACTTTACCATAAACACCACATCCAGAGAGACATCACAGACGGTTGTTACCTGGCAGGGGTTCATGGGTGCTCATATCGCGGATGGGTACGATGAAAGCATGCAGACCGTGGCCGTTTCCCTGAGTGTAAAGCTGGGCTAGAACTATGGCATGGTTTGAGGTTTTTCCAACTAGAAAGACAGACAGAGAGGGTGAAAACTAGTTTCTTTTGAATTTCACTGAGGTTTTTTAAGCCTGACACAAAAATGAGGGGAAAAAAGCACTGTATATATTACTATGAAAAAATATTCATAAAATTATTATTATTCATCATTAAATTTCTTATTTATGCTCACATGAATTCTGATACTAGGCCACTTCTAGCCATTAAAATAACTCTCGGGTGGCCTTAACACTGTAGAGACATGACAGCGTGAATGTACTTACGTCCTCCAGGCCACCACTTGATGGAGCTGACTGTGGGACTGTTCAAGACAAACTCCTGCGTGGCGGGGTCATATGTGGCTGTGGTCTCCAGCCCTCTGAGGTGAGTGCCTGGAGAGAGACAACAAATCAAAGCCCACCAAACACATACATACAGAGCACACAGTTGAAAAGAATGACTCTTCTGCATCAATTATCAGAAAAAAAAGACATAAAACAGTGATAGAAAACATATTTATCCCTTGACAGTTTGTATCTGAGCTCCTTTCAAAGAAAAATAAAATGGATGAAGCCAAAATAAAGGACCGAAGCAGTGCACTTGTAGGTGTTTGACAGACCCAAAAACATATGTAACAATCATATTTTAAGATTAATCAATACAGGCTCTGTCTATGGCATACTGCGCACAGAATTAACATCTGATACAAACAAAACAGATCTAGAAGGGGGGTGTACACTACTCAGTTTTCAGTCTGAATGTTTTTTTTCCCAAGCAGGAATATGTATCTTTGGTGGGAAGCCAAACACAGATCTTATCCACTGCTGAAACAAAAACAATCTACAATTGTTAGTAAAGGAAACATCAAATAAAAGGGTGGGTAAGAGAGCATGAGAGATAGATTGTGAAGGGCTATCTGATGTAGGTATGGAAGATTTTATTGAACTTTAATATTTGTAACCCACAGAAAACAATCCACAAATGTGTACTATGATGCGCAAATATTTCACTCTCTACAAATGTGTATTTTTAGATTTGTGATGGGTAAAATCATATCCACAAAAATACAGAGTGACTTCTACACACACAAAAACGTTTTTGCACATTTGCAGATTGCTTTCTGTCAATTTGTGGGTCATGTTACATTTGTAACTTCCTTTTTACACATTTGTGGAATTTTGTCCAATGTGTACTGCGGAGATCTGTTAAAAAAACCCCACATGTCACTACCCAAAACATGTATTTTTACATTTGTGTTGTGTAAAATCATATCCACAAAAATACAGTGCAGTTTGCAAATATGTACAATTTACTCTGTACACACATTTTAATTTCACATAAAGTGTTATTTATGCATTTGTGGATCTGTTTTTACACACAAAACAGTTTTTGCACATTTGCGGATCATTTCCTGTCAATTTGCAGGTCATGTTAGATTTGTGACTTCCTTTTTACGCATTTGTGATTTTGTCCACTCTACCACAGAGATCTGTAAATGTGAGAGCAGTTTATTAGCTACACCAGCAGGGGGCGGTAGCGAAATTGCCTCTCATGAGTTGTAAGAATATCCATTGCATTACCCAGGGTCATCTGTTGTAAACAACTTCTGCTTCTGAGAGACAACTGAACTCTTCTCTATCTAAACTTGTGTGTGTGTATATATATATATATATATATATATATATATATATATATATACACACATACACATACACACACACACACACACATACACACACACACACACACACACACACACACACAAGTGTATATAGTTTACGATTGGATACTTTATCAACCTAAATGACACAACTAACACAAATTAGACCACAGATCTCCATTTGATAAGATTTTGTCCCAGACACGCTTATCAGAAAGGATATTGCTTTTAGATGTTTTATTACAGAAAGTGTATGAAACCCATTGTTACTTATGGATGGAATTATGGTGAAAACTATTTATTCTTTTAAATTTACTGTTTATTACCCTTAAGGACCCCTGGTGGTCCAGCAAATGGCTATTCATTTATTAGCTGCAATAGGGCTAGTCTGATAAAGTGAGCATTGCCCCTCATGTTGTCCAAGTTGTCTCCAGTATTTAGGTGTCATTTAACCCTACTCATAAGCTTTACAAAAATTCATGCAAAAGCTCAACGGAAAATGGACATTGTACTTTTGCGGACCGTAACCTTATACATAAGATTTATAATAGCTCCTACAAACAGTAGGTACAACAGTACTCTGAAATGTAGTCTATTTATTTAAATATAAATGTAATAAATGTAAAACAAATGCAGTGATAAAGTATTCAATAGTAAACTATATACACACACTTGTACAGAAAAATTTAAAATTTAAAGTCCATTGGTCCATCAGAAGTTGTTGACTCCTACAGATGACCCTGGGAACTGCAATGGATATTCTTACAACTCATGAGAGGCAATGTCGCTACCGCCACCTGCTGGTGTAGCTAGTAAACTGCTCTCACATTTACAGATCTCTGTGGTACAGAGTTGACAAAATTCCACAAATGCGTAAAAAGGAAGTCACAAATGTAACGTGACCTGCAAATTGACAGGAAATGATCCGCAAATATGCAAAAACTGTTGCGTGTAATAATAGATCCACAAATGTGTAAATAACACTTGTTGTATGTGAAATTAAAATGTGTGTACAGAGTAAATTGTATATATTTGCAAATTTGTAAATTTTATTTTTGTGGATATGATTTTACACAACACAAATGTAAAAATACATGTTTTGGGTAGTGACGTGTTTTTTTTTTTTACATATCTCCTCAGTACACATTGGACAAATTACATATGTCACATTACCCACAAATTGACAGAAAGCAATCTGCAAAAACTGTTTTGTGTGTAGAAGTCACTCTGTATTTTTGTGGATATGATTTTACACATCACAAATCTAAAAATACACATTTGTAGAGAGTGAAATATTTGCGCATCATAGTACACATTTGTGGATTGTTATATATTTTCCTTTGGTTTTGAAACTGTTACATTTGTCAACTGACACAAGTGGTCAGCGTGTTGTACATAAATTTAACCACAGCAAATATTTGACCTTCAGTCTTAAACAAAGTGCTGCTCACATGCAGTTCGTTCAAAGCAATGGGTTTTACAATGGATATTTTGGTTGCATTAACCATTTTGTTATCCTTTAGCAGCTTAGAAAATGGGATTTGTCTACAACCTGTCCGCCTTCTCGTGTAGCTTTCCCTTCTCGACTGCATTTACTCATTTACACAAATGATGACAAAGTAATGACATCTAGTATGTTAAAAAGACTTGCATGTAAAACAACAAACTTTCACAGATATTTATTAATTATTAAAAATGTTTATTACAAATACATAATCAAAAACTAAACTAATACAACTAGTAAACTAACAATCTTGTAGCACCAGTTTGTTTTTGCATTTAAAGGTTCAGTGTGTAAGTTAGTTTAGTGGCAGCTAGTGGTGAGGGTTGCAAATTCACTCACCGCTCACCCCTCTGAAAGCACGTAGGAAAGGCTACGGTGGCTGACGCGCTCTGTCGGCTCTTGTACTAAACAACACATGTGGTCCTCCATTTGCCCTAGTTTCTCTTCTTTTCTTCCTTCTAATAAACCAGACGATTACTACTACTGATACTACTACTTCTTCGTTCGTATTCAACGTAGTGATGAAACGCGCTCTATAGAGCAGCTTGTCTTTTTGGGCTACTGTAGAAACATGGCGGTGCAACATTGTGACTTCCATGTAAGTGGACCCGCGGTGTATGTAGACAGAAATGTCACATTCTCAGGTAATAAAAACACATCTGTCCATTATACAAACCACTGAAACCACCACTGAAATGTAGTTATGTATATTATATGGCATTTCTGTCAATAGATCCTCCTTAATATTACACACTGAACCTTTAAGTACAATCTATGTAAACGTTATCATTACTACACAGTTTTTGGGGTCTTGGCAATGGCAACGAAAAAGCAACAAAATAATCCCCATTTATGGACAGGCCTACACAGGCCTGATATTTTGGACTGCTCTGTTCATTTTACCGTGGCCCATCTCAGTCTGAGCGTAGGTGCCGATGATCTCTAGGTTCCAGGCAGGCATGAAGAAACGGTCCATTTGTTCTGGGGTGGCCTGGTTGAGCAGTGTGGGCAGGAACATCCCCAGATGGAGATCCAAAGGCTCTGGCCTGTTGGCGTGCACAGACCTAGGCCACGCAGGACAGGGGCACATGGAAAAGAAAAGGTGGTAATGCAGAAAAAGGCAAAGGGGGCGATGCACGGGGGCATTATTGATGAAAGCCATATCATGGAAAGTTTAGAGCCTCACAGATGCGTGAAGAGAGATTTTTTTTTTTTTAAAGGAGGGATTATGGGTAAGTGTTGATATGCTTCAAATCAATAAGAAGTGAGGGATGACATAAAGACAGAGGTTGTGAAGGCAAGCAATAAAGACGGATGTGAGAAAGACAAATTAAAACAGCTTGTGAGCATATCATGGATATTGGAAGTGATTTGATCATATGGTCATAATTCAGCTAGAAACTTCCCATATTCACATTTCATTTAAATCTGTCTTTAGTAGCTGTATCATTAAAATTCCCCCGCCGTGTGAGAGTTCGAATACCTCAGTAATGTAGAGTACTGAAGTCTTAGCCGACTCTCAGTATAGGCCTAAAGTTTTGGTATCAAACTCCTGATTCAGCTGCCCCTTACATTTCTTTACACCAAGTGGTCACATGTAAACTACCTGGCTGTTCAACTACTTTGGCAACACACAGTTTGAGTCTCAGGGCCAGTCACTACACACATGACAGAAATAATACAGATATTATGGACACTAAAATGAGGTCAGATAACAATGGATATGCAAGTTGTAGACATATTTTTAAAAGAGCCCTTTAGGCAACTATTTTGATTGATTGATTTGATTAATTGCTTTTTTATTTGAGAGATTATTTGGAGGTATATGACAGACAAAACAAGACATTAAGTCAACTTTTGTTCTAGGATATTGTGATGGGCATATTGATTAATCAGATTAATAATTAAGATATTAACCGATAATGAATTATAGTCGTTGCCCTAGAAAAGTGGTGACGGGCACATTAGGTCACGACATAAATTGTACTCTAGGACTGTGGCCCAGAATTAGGCCAAACTTGCCAAAACACAGGTGAACAAAATGTTCTGTTCTAAACTTTCAATGTAGCTTTGCACAGATAAAACACATATTCCTATGACCACCCACTTGGCTTTTTTACAGGAAGGCAACAAACAATAGCTGGCCTGGCCTACATTCTCTCTCATCATAGAGTTGTCAGCATCTCAGATTACAAAGAGACATTCAGAGGCTACAACTCTGCCTCATTATGGCTCCCAGACCACATCATTCTGCAATTGTTTGTCCTTTTCATGCAGTTTCCAATTCCAGTCAACTTCTTCACCATTTCTGGTCACTCGAAATGGCAACAGCCAAAACCAAAGACAGACTAGATTACTCATTAGAATTCTTTGGAAACAGAGGTCATCATTTGCAAACAGATGGAAAGCAATCAAGACACAGCAATCAACAAAATGCGCACAAGCTTCATCATCAGTGCATTATCATTACATAAAGGGGGATGAGAGAGTTGTGAGTAGGGAAGAAGTTGAACTACCTAATGTTGATGGGACTAGGTTTTGGAACATACAAGACAAAACTAATTTTATTTGAAGATACTTCTAACTCTGAAGGTGTAAGGGGCAACCACTAGTGAAGCGATGTTAATAACGTCACAGAACAAAATGTAACGTATGAACACAGTTGTCAGGAATTACATGCAACTACTTTTGAACTTTCTACATGATTTGGATCTGTCAAACATTTACAAGAAATCACCAGAGTTGCTCCTGGTAGCTAAACAGCTTTCCAAAGCTGCTGGAATGGGCCTCTTTTAAACCACATATTCCAATTTGTGCCGTTTTATAACAGCACAGTGAAGTTGTGTCTGAGGGCCTCAAAGCACAAGCAAGTATATAAGTTAAGGGCTAAGTCCAGGACTGACCGTGACCCATCTCAGTTTGGGCATATGTGCCAATGACCTGGAAGGACTCTGCCAGAGGTAACCATTTCCTGGACTGCTGAGGGTCACACTGATTGTGCAGGGTTGGGAGGAACATGGCAAAGTGTAGCCCCATGGCCTCATGATGGTTGCCCTGAGCCATTCTGGGTGAAAGGAAGGTATAGGATACATAACTGAAGTTCAGACTTGCTGTCACTCAAAGGTTGTGTAACTGATGTCTTTGCTGACTCACTCATGTAATTGAAGCAGACAGATGGGACGAGGTCCAAGTTTATCCCACACATATAATTTAGTGTCTTGTTTAGACATGGTACTCCAACTGCAACTGACAACTAAGACTTCTAGATAAAATAATAAAGTCTCCGGTTGAGGTACTTCATCGTTACTGGCAGCACATTTTTCTTATTTACTTTACCTTTTAGAGCAATGACATGGAGTGGGTTTTCCACTGGCCAAAATGATTGACTTGTCAAGAGGGCAAGCAAAGTACAAGAAGTATTAATGTGATCCACATCTAACCTTTTTAAGAACAGGAGCAATTAATAAGATGACTGTAAAAAAAAATTTATCTGCATAAACATCAGAGAGCAGAGCAGGAACAAAGTTGGACCAAAATCTCAAAAGTCTTGCAATATAAAGAGTATCAGTTTAGTCAGTCACTATACATACAAACCAACTACTGAAAGTTACTACTGGAATTTCAGCAACACATGTAGTCAAAGTTATGTTGCACAGAGCTTAACTAACATCTGTCTGATATTGTCGACAAAAAGGTCATAAAAGGTAGTATTTCTTGAAAGGAAAATCTATTACATTGTACAACTAGTGAAAGCTGGCAGCTTGCATACCCTCTGACACAGTTGTAATCTTGTGATGAACCTTGCTCTAAGTTTATTGGATCACTCCAAGGCCACACACGGCAACACAGATTTTTGGACAAGTTACATTTCCAAACCATCCTGTTGAGTGGTTGTTTGATACAGTAACAGGACAGCTGTGGAAAAAAATTCATCATAATAGAAAGTCCACTGTAAATGGCTGTTATAATGGTGCCCAAGCTACAACTTACATAGACTTATACATGAAATTTCAACATAACATTGGTAATGTAATTGTTTACAAACAAACAATGCAGGTATATTATTTGATTGCAGCCAGGGTGTGGTGGCATTACAGCCAAAATTGTGTAACATGTCACATGTCAAGTACATACATTATGTGTAACTGATCAAGTGCTCACCCTAAATCCTGACAGTACTATATCTGACAGGGCATAAAAGTTTGCTTTTTCATAGTCATAGTTAGTATAAGCACATACCGTGTTTGTCAACTTAAGCTTTACTGCAATTGTGGAAAGCATTTTAATTGTTCACTATTTCCCTCTATTAAATTTGAACAGGTGAGCATACACAAGTGTAAATGACTACCATTACACATCATTTCTCACTCTTTGATATTTCTGAGTGTACAATGTTACACTCCTCATGTGCCTGAGTCACTTAAGCCCCTCCATGTTTATTTACCTCTCCTAACAGCAGATCTGACTGTGTGTGGGCAGGGTGCAAAATTGTCCTTTACCACATACTTCTTATAGCAGTAGATCTCCTCTGGGTCTGCAATTCCATACTCTCTGAGCTTCAGGATCATTTGGGCACTTTTTCTAACAGCCTGGTCATAGCGCTCACTGCGGGACAGGAAGTTTGGGTCCTCCTCGTGAAAGTCCGGATCGCTGAAAACCAGCGACTCTACAGTAAATATGGAAATTAAATCAGAAATGTATATTTTAGTCTATACAGCTGTTGCAGTCTATACAACTGCAAGTAAAGTAAGGAAAGACCTATCTTATGTTTAACTGGACATTTGCAAAAGGCTATCAAAATGCGTTAATGTGTACCCACTAGGCCTGGGCGAAAAATCGATTGAATGAATTAATTCGAATTTTTTGTTGCGGGCGATTTAAAAAATAAGTAAATCGAGTTTTTGTGTAATAGCACATTTTTGGCTCCCCGGGGTTTCCGTAGTGTTCGTTTCCCATAGCGACAACATCATACACTAAACAGCAACAGCAAGCGACAAAATGGCTACCGGTGAGAGCGGGAAGTTTGTTCCCAAGAAAGGAATAAAGTCATCTGTTGTTTGGAACTGGTATGGGTTTGCTGCGACAGATGTGGAACAACAGACACCACGCTGCAACATTTGCCTAAAGCCTATCGCAGTGAAAGGCAGCAGCACCACAAACCTATTCCAACACCTGAAACAGAGACATCCAGCCGAATATGAAAAATGCCAGTCTCTCCGCGATGAACAAAGCCGCACTGACCAACAAACCTTATTGCTTTCCTTAAGTAGGGGGGGAAATCGGAAAAAATCGTAAATTGAATTAAAGTAAATAAAATCGGAGATTTTATTTTTAGGCCATATCGCCCAGCCCTAGTACCCACATTTGAAAATGAGTACTAAGATTTGTAAGAGTGTATCGAATAGGTCTGCACAGTTAAATGAAATATTCTCAAAATTGCAATATGGCCAAGCGCAATATCCAAATCACAGAAGGTGCAATTTTGTGATGAAGGTAAAATGTGTGAAAAAGTACTGTAGCACTGCAGAGATGCCCCGGCCAACACATTTTTGTTTGGTACAGACCCCAACAAAAGTCACATCAACATGATTTTAGTAGTTTTTTTTCAGTAAAAATGAAAATTGTGATGCAAAAATGATCAATCCCACAAGATCCAGACTATGAATTAAGACAGCTTTTTTTTTCTTGGCAAGGATCCCAGCCCCAAAGCATGGTGACACCAAGGCACATTGCCACATTTATAGATTTTAGAACTGCAACGATTACTCGATTAATCAATAAGTCAGGTGGACAAAAAGCTAAACAAAACTATTTTGATAAATTCACTTATCGTTTTAAGTAACAAAACAAACAAACAAAAATTAGCTTATACTCTGATTATCTGCTGATTTTCTTGGTCTTCTAAAATATCTTTGGGATTTGGACTGTTGGTTGGACAAAACAAGACATTTGAAGACGTCATCTTTGACTCTGGGAAACTCACTTTTTCACATTTAATAATAGATAATAATAATAATAATAGACTCATTCATTCATTCACTTATATAATACACACTGACAAATTTCAGAATGCATTTGCATAATTGGGTACACTTTCAAAAATCTGTCCCTCTACATATATATGAAAAATACATCCGGTCTTATATTACATGACCTGATCTTTCTCAGGAGTCGTGGGGTCAGTGGCTTTTAAATTATATCCACACTGACACAGTCATAACGTGGGTTGTTCTCTGCTACCTACAACGCTGTATGTTGCCAGTAGAGGACATGAATCTAGTATTATAATCTCTGCAGTGTGAAATTCAGAGAACTTGAACTTTGATACCCGTGGTGGTTGACGTTAAGTTACGTCCGTTACGTCATTGGACAATGAACAACTTTTACATACTTACTTACTTATTTAAGGATGCTTGAAAAAAATACACACAGGTGCCGAATTCACCTTTAGGGCATACCAAATCACCCCAACACACCTGACTTCAGAAATACCACCTTAAACGGACCTAAGGGGAGATATGTTTCTAAATAACGTTATCCTAAAAGTTTGGTGCAATACAGGACAATGTCGCCTAGCGGCCGTAGAGAAGGAAGGTGCTAGCAACTCTTGCGGCTGCAAACATCCATGAATTCATGTTTGAGTTAGCTCCTTTTTCTCCACAATACTCTTACAAAACAGCATTACGATCACCATCACATCAAGTGTCGACAATAACAAGCACAATAACTCCTATCGGGCAAGGAAGACAATTTAAACTCACCAATTTCTCGCCTTCTTTTGGTCTTTTCTGGGCCCCCGTCCAAAATGTTTGTCAGTTTCTCGACGTTAAAAGTCGCGTTTTGCCGCTCTTTCATAATATCGGGATTCATTGCTCTCAATCTGACTGAAAACAGGTTTTATAGTAAAACGTATAAACAAGAATAGGGTATGGAAGAACCGAAACAATAACCTCCGGACACTCTCAACCTGACGGGTCCAACTGAAACGGCCTCCTCATGGCGCAGCCGCAGAGAGGTCGACAGAGGCGGAGACAAACACGTCATGTGACATGTACCCGGAAGGACACGGCCTTCCTTCACCATGCACTTTATTCACATTATGCAACCATATCAGATTTTCAGGTTTTTGTCCAAGACGCTTTTGTTTTTACCACCATGCTTCCAGCAGCTGCAGTCTTTCGTTTCCCCTGGGAAGTAAACTCTGGAGAAGTGCAGGAAGGAGAGTCAGTGAGAGTATTTGGCAGGTGGGGTTTGTTACTCGTAGCACATCAGTTTTGATGCTCTGTGTGGAAAATAACATTTATATTTTGCAGCGAATTTGCTTGATACAGGGCAATTTCTGCATTATGAGATTATACATCAGAAGTTGCAATCCAAGTAAAATACAATATTTTTTATTTAGATCTGGTCTGGATGAAGAAAAAATAGTGCAGCATCACGTTTTTCATATCTAAAACTGTTATCAAATTTTCTCTAGTGTCTATATGTTAAACTGTGCAAAAAAACATGCAATCATTAGTTTTTTTCAGTATTTAACTCGCATAATAAAGGTTTCATAAATCTCAGACTTGGCTTAAAACAGTGCAATCAAACTCCATGTTAATCTGGTCCAGGCTCAAGTGCAGTTTCTTAGCTAGACCCACTGCAATTTTTTTGTTACAAAAAGGCAAAATGTGTCTCAAAATACCATTTTATATTAAATATTGTCATGCAGCAGTGATGTCCTGGCCAGCGGCGTAATGTAGTAATGATGGGCCCTTGGGCTACACCGTTACGAAGCACAAGCGCACACACTGTGTTTGTGTCTAGAAGGGAACCCTATATTGTCAAATTTATGTGCCTTATTTCCTCGTTTTGCCATGGTTTAACAACTGATAAGATTAGATGCAGTAAATACCTCATTTAAAGCTCCTTAAATTGATTTCTTTCCATATTAACATTAGTTTTTCCTCGATTGTTTACACACATTTTCTGAACTCTCAGAACTCTACACACAAATCAAAAAACACACAATGGGCAAAACCCCTCAATTCTCCTGCAAAATGAAACTTTACATTCAAAACAATGTTATTTCTTCTCAAAATGGTATTTTGTTTTCAAATGACACACACAAGCCATCATATGAATAGACATTCATAAGAACCAGTTGAACACTGATGTGCTCAATGTAAAACACTTCTCCATTCATCATAATGACTTAGGCCTTTTTTTGTTCAGTGTTACACTTACTACAGACAGTACATACATAAGTGTGTTGTAAAATATTTGAGAATATTGTTTTTATACAGAACACAAATACACAGTAACAAATATATTTTATTTGTCCCACAAAAACAATGTACACAGTGTACATCCCATTCCCAACCAACAAAGTTGCACATACAAAAAAAGAATTTACTGTACACAGTTACAGTAAAAAAATAAAAATAAAAAAAAAAACCCCAACCTAAAAAAACTATGCTGCATCCTCTCTCCTATTGCGGTCTGGCCACAGCACCTCATCCACATCACAAACAATGTTTTCCCTGGCCACGCAGCGGGGGAAATATCGCCTAGCATGGCGATTCCAGCCATGAAAAGCATCAGCTGCTATATCTCCACATGCATCCTCCATAGCTCAGAGAAGAGGTATACGCGTTTGTGGATTTCGGTCATACACTTTCCATCTCCAGGCAGAAAAAAATTCCTCAATAGGATTGAAGAATGGAGAATATGGAGGGAGATAAACAACTAAAAAGCGTGTTTGGGCAGTGAACCAGTTACGAACCAGAGCAGCCCTGTGGAAACTTATGTTGTCCCAAATGACAACTTACCTGAGTTGCTCTGGGCCATCTACCTGATCTTGTGGAATGAGTGTGTTGTGTAGGGTGTCCAGGAATGTGATCAGATGGGCGGTGTTGTAGGGGCCAAGGGTAGCATGGTGATGGATGACGCCGTGGTGGGTAATCGCTGCACACATTGTGATGTTCCCTCCGCGCTGGCCAGAGACTTCAACAATGGCACGCTGGCTGATGACATTCCTTCCCCTCTTTTGTCTTTTTGTGAGGTTGAACCCAACCTCATCAATGAAGATGAACTTGTGCTCCACTGCAGCCACCTCTAGCTCAAGGACTCTCTGAAACACACATGACAATATCAGAAATAGACATGGAGTGGTCACTATTGTGAAGCACAATCATTATGATTACAATATTGAAATATGTATAATTTACTGTATACAATGTTGAGAGTGTGCGTCAATTGTGGGACTCACTTGCACATAGTTATATCGCAATTCTTTGACTCTTTCTGAATTGCGTTCAAATGGCACCCTGTAGACCTGATTCATCCTGAGATGATTTCTGCGCAAGACACGGTCCAGTGTTGATAAGCTTACCCTATCAATATTTTGAAATATGTCATTGTTTTCTGTTATTTTTCTTTGTATTTGCTGTAATGTTATGGCGTTGTTTTCTAGGACCATGTTTATGATTTAAGTTTCCTGTTCAGGAGACAGAAGACGTTCCCGACCACCTTGTGTTGGTAATCTTTCAGTTCTGCCAAACAAATACTGTAAATACAAAGTAGGTATACATTTCCTTAATACTTGAAACATACTTTACAGTATTTTTACAGTCCTACAGAACAGTCCATTGGCAATACTGTACTACTGTACTCATTGAGTACTGTATTGATATGCAGTACTGCAATTTGCTAGTGAGAGTAGATTTCTTACCTATTCTCATTTCGGAAAGTCCAGATGATGGATGCTACAGTGTACCTGCTCAGATTTGGCTGTACTCTTTGCCCAGCCTCCCTCATTGTTAGACCATGGTTGATCACATGATCAACCAAAGTGGCTCGGATCTCATCAGAGATTACGGTGGTGGTGGTGGTGTTCGTCCTCGTCGTCCTCCTCCTCCTCCTCTCACTCTCGCCCTCCTCCTCCTCTCACTCTCGCTCCTCTGGCTCTGCCTCTGTTTCCAATGTTGGCATCCATTGCTCCCTTGAAGAGCTCACCTGTTGCCCTTTTATGCTAAAGCTCTGATTCCTAATTGGAAAACTGTGTGACGGGTGTTTGCCCTTGTGATGAGTCAGTGTGCATATTTGAATGGCAGTGTGTTCCTTGTGAAAACAAGATATTTTCTGCATGAAACTTGTGCCAAAAGCAGAGAATTGTGTGTAGTGTTGTGACAAAAGTGTGTTTTAGAACTGCAATTTGAGTGTAAAGCAGGAATTGTGCTTTTAGTTTAGCAGAATTGGTTCAGGGGGTTGGTGAATGAGTTACATGTTGTGGTCATTGTGTCTCAAGTACCAGAATTTGTGTGTAAACAATTGAGAAAAACTGTAAATTCAACAGTTTTCTTTGTGTGTGTCTCTCTCCAACACACACACACACACGCACACACACACGCACACACACACGCTGCTGCTGTCTAAAGTAAAGTACCATCATTTGATGGTTTTTATAGTTGGACTGTGTCACCTAGACATTTGTATTTGCAAAGTACAGAAGTCAAAGGAGCATGGCCAGTGCTGTCATTGTCAAAATCCGTCACTACAAACAGCTGAGAGCAGGAGTGCTGAAAAGACGCAGACTTTTTCGGGGCAACTTCAGTACAATAACCTCCTGAATCACGACAACCACATTCTTCTTCGACAGAGAGGCGAAACATTATGGTAAATAAGAAAGAAAAGTGGCCAACTCATAAACAACACCATGTCCTGAAAACCGGCCAGCTACAGCGCACACACAGTTTAATACCCACACGCACATCCACAGAATTCACACAACAGGTAGACCTACTCAGCAGCGAGCTGACCATGGAATGATAACGGCCTTTAAAACAGCCACACCACATCCACTGATAAAGCACGTGTAAAGTTACTCACCTATTTGATAGGCATCCGACGAGCCTGCATTGAGCAAGATCTTTGACAATGTCCTCAGTAATCCAAAACAGTCTTATTTAGGAGCTTTGCGACCCTCTCAGCCTGTTCCTTTCTCTCCTCTCTCTTCTTGAAACTCAATGGCAACACTCCCAGCCTGCACGTGTGCTCTGTTAGTCTACTGTTCAGATTTTGCCTTTCACCCGATTTCTGGAGTCTTCTCGTCAATTGTCACATGATCAAATAGAAACGTAAGATTGGGCAGTTATTTACATATTACCCACCAATCATCAGTGTATATGTAGCTATGTGACACAAATACCAAAGAAAATAAGACTAAATTCATTCTGTTGAATCTGTGGAATCTATTTTTTGATATTTCACCATGTACCATAGCCTACTGCTTGCTACAGACTTTTGTGTGTAAAACTACTGACTGCAGTCAGTAATTTTACTCACAAAAGTCCATGGTGTTCGACACCACGACAAAGGGGGACATGCGCACATCAGTGTATATATAGCACTTGATCACAAATTTCAAATTTAGGTTGAGATGAGATGGGTGTCTCCTTTTGACTGATGAGACTCTATGCATTTATACCCTGTAACTGACAAAGACCAGCTCGTAACTCCCATCAAGGGCCCCTAGTACAGTGCGGGTCCCAGTGCAGCTGCACTGTTTGCACTGTCTATACCTACGCCCCTGGTCCTGGCCTACACACATACATAAACCTCATTCATTCTACAGACAAAACATCTTGGTTTGGTCCAAATCCTTGCAAAAAGCACATCATAACACCATAATAACTGATGAAAATGAGAATAATTATGTAAAAATGATCATTATCATATATATCTGTCAAAATAATTACTACATAATTTTTTTTCAAATTTTTTAAGCCATTATATAAATCATACATATATACCATTTTAAATATATCTGTAAATGTTTAACATCAGTAAAGTGTGATTCATGAACAAACCCTAACCAAGATTTTTTTTTGTGTCTAAAGCTAACTAAACCTAGAAATATGTTTTTGTGAAACAGTTGAAGCTTCATCCTCAGCACTCCACCGTGCAAAATATTTTATTTCAATATATAATTTTAGAATTTTTGTTTATAATGTTTGCTTTGTGAGTAGTATAAAGGGAACTACAAACATCATCTCATTATAAAAACCCTATAAAATAACAATGCATTTACCTTGTGGTAATGAATATTCTTAGGGGGCTTGATCGATGTAACACGGGAAAGTAAGATAGGTCTAGCTTGGAGTCATTAGCTGACCCTGCAAGAGTTCACTGACCATCCAGCTCAAGTTATTTCATTTCATGTAACTGTCCTTGTTAGGGAGGCAACAGTTAGACTGATTAGGTAGAGACAGTATCTCAGGCGTCAGGCTAGCAGATATCTGTGTTCTCTGGGAATCTGAGTACAATTCATGGATAGTAATAGATTCCAATTTGACATAGCATTGGAGCCTAAACATCAGATATATTTGTTGTTCTAGGTTAAAGGCCAGCTAAAGATTACCTAAAAGGGAAACCTACAGGAACTAGAGGGAAGACAGAAACATAAAAGGGACCAAAAGATGTTATCCTTCAGATTTCAATGTGTTCACATGTTGTATGCTGGCACTGTATCTCCTCGGCCGGGCTCAATAATCCATGCTGTGTTCATCAGTCTCTGAAACTTCTTCATCACACCTGAACCTGGCTCGCAATATTTCTTCAGCACCTTGTAATGGTGATTTGTTTTATGTAAAATCGTAGTAGTAGTAGGATAGCTGTCAGATAGAGTGGAGAAGTATAAAATAGCAGAAAATGAAAATAAAAGTTCAAATTTGTCAAAGCTGCACTTGAAGTGAATCTATGTAACTTAAAGAAGGAAAAACACAGTTTTCTTTTTAAAAATGAAACCTTTAATTCATAAGCAATAACATGCAATATTGATCTGTTCAATACACTCAAGTTTTTAGCTAATACAGCCTTGCTTGGTCTGGTATGACCGAAAGCTTATTGTAGCCTTTGTTAGCTCATATTTTTAGCTCATATTAGCAAGTTTCAGATGGAAACTGTTGTGGAACTGACATTTCTGAGTCAGTTTCCTGACTTCATAACTCTTTAAAAGTACAGCACATACACTCACCTAAAGGATTATTAGGAACACCTGTTCAATTTCTCATTAATGCAATTATCTAATCAACCAATCACATGGCAGTTGCTTCAATGCATTTAGGGGTGTGGTCCTGGTCAAGACAATCTCCTGAACTCCAAACTGAATGTCAGAATGGGAAAGAAAGGTGATTTAAGCAATTTTGAGCGTGGCATGGTTGTTGGTGCCAGACGGGCCGGTCTGAGTATTTCACAATCTGCTCAGTTACTGGGATTTTCACGCACAACCATTTCTAGGGTTTACAAAGAATGGTGTGAAAAGGGAAAGACATCCAGTATGCGGCAGTCCTGTGGGCGAAAATGCTTTGTTGATGCTAGAGGTCAGAGGAGAATGGGCCGACTGATTCAAGCTGATAGAAGGGCAACTTTGACTGAAATAACCACTCGTTACAACTGAGGTACATGGATCCATCATGCCTTGTTACCACAGTGCAGGCTGGTGGTGGTGGTGTAATGGTGTGGGGGATGTTTTCTTGGCACACTTTAGGCCCTTAGTGCCAATTGGGTATAGTTTAAATGCCACGGCCTACCTGAGCATTGTTTCTGACCATGTCCATCCCTTCAATCATTTCAAATTGGTTTCTTGAACATGACAATGAGTTCACTGTACTAAAATGGCCCCCACAGTTATCAGATCTCAACCCAATAGAGCATCTTTGGGATGTGGTGGAACGGGAGCTTCGTGCCCTGGATGTGCATCCCACAAATCTCCATCAACTGCAAGATGCTATCCTATCAATATGGGCCAACATTTCTAAAGAATGCTTTCAGCACCTTGTTGAATCAATGCAACGTAGAATTAAGGCAGTTCTGAAGGCAAAAGTGGGTCAAACACAGTATTAGTATGGTGTTCCTAATAATCCTTTAGGTGAGTGTAAATCATAAGTCATATGCTTAGTATCACAAAGGCCGAGTGCAACAGATGCAGTTAAAAAGGTTTATTATGATCAACAAAACAGGCTTATGTATGAGTACATGGTGAGAGTACAAACACAAGTGTACAGTGTAAAAACACAGAGTAATCCAGTGCTCAGACAGAACACTCACAATCAACGATGACCCCACAAGGACTGAACACAACTGAGGGCAATATACAGAGGCACACCACACACATAATCAGGCAGGGCAATTAAACACAAGTGAGACGCATTTGGAATCAAGATAGACAGGAAACAAAGCTAGACAAAAACACCAATCACCAAAATTACAAAATAAAACAGGAAGTAAAGCTGCAGACAATACACAAGCATATAACTAAATACAACAGAAAACAAGGAAGCAATCAATGCTCAGCTCTGTGTTCAGCCAACAAGAACACAGAGGTAATGGGTAAAACAAAAAGGGCATTTAACAAAATAACAGAAAACACCACACTCAAATCCAAGGTTGTGACACTTGTTACATTTCACCTCCTACATTATCATTGTTGACTGCTGTTTTTGTTGTTGTTGAATAAATTAGAATACGACTTTATTGTCCACCTTGGTGGAAATTTGTCTTTGGCCCATGTGGCTGTTTAATGCAAAGACATCACATAAGAAGAACAGTGCCAGTGTGATTACTCAAAGAAATAATGTTATAATACACAAAATTACATTTGTTATAATTATAATACACCTTAAAAAGAAAAGATTAAACTGTATCATCCAGGCTGACTTAGACATTAAACCCAACTGTTCAATTTTTCAGACTTGTCTGCTATCAGCCTGAGGAGTCCAGGGCTACACTGTCAGCTCAGCATGCTTCAAAAGAGCACCACGTGGTCGTCCACACCGTGTTTGTGGAGCCCTTCAACCCAATAATTGGGGCCCAGTACTTAGTTCTGGGTGAGGTAGAAAATGCTCAGGGTAAGGAAAGACTTTCTTTATTTGGAATTTCAAACAGCAGTTTCCTATTATTCTTGGATCCACTTATCAACGAGAAATTGACTGGCTATCTGAAAGTAGTATCACCAGATGTGAAATTGTATATGATATATATTATATGAATATGATTAGTATATAAATAGATTTTTATAAGCTGTCAAGTTGAAATAGAACTTAACTTACCTTTTTAATATCATTGTTTGTGTGCCTCAATTTCACCCACATTAATTAAATTAAATCTTGAATCACTGGACCCATTTAAGAAACATCCAGGACTCTTTGCCTCTGTCGCCTTCTTTTATCTGTATCTTCTCGTCTTACAGGGGTTGGCGTGATGGTCCGTGCCCGTGTGCTAAACTGTGTTGATGGTGTAAACATTGCTCTTCTACAGAAAGCCATCAATGAGCAAAGGAGCTTCTTTGGGGAGAGGGAGCGTACACCGAGTGATGCTGCACAACCTGCACATACAACGTGATTAGGGTCTTCATTCATCAAGTTTCCCAGGGTGCTCATTGAGTATCAGGACTACCAGTGCTGCCAAGATTCACTGGAGTGCTGTTGTGTGAAAAGTGTAAAAGACATAGATGTACTGACTAAATGACTATCATGTCTACCTCTGATCATAACAGCTTTCGGCACTGTATCAGTCCTGGGGTTGCTATTTGATAATTACAGCCCCAAATGAATGGCTTGACATTAGGGTTGCATGTGTGTTCAACAAAGTATTACTAGCAGATGCTTTGGGCCATGACATGAATATGGTACATTTTGTTAGCCATGTTGAGCTGTCTGATAACAATAGGTTTTTCAATGCTGCAAATTTTAATGGTGGGAGTTTCCAGTCTTAACATTCTCGATGTAACTTTGTGGTCTGATATCTTTCAAATGCTTTAAAATCGTTACAATAGATGTCATGTATGGGTCACGTAATATAGATTTAAAAAAACCTGAATGGATATATTCCACTCACATTAAAATGGGGTTTCAAAATTCAAACACTCCTATCAAACACTTACTACTGATCAGACAGCTGAAAAGATATTTATTAGATACAATTTAGCAGCTAGGTGTAGCCTGGACTATTATATAGGCAAGGACTTGCACTGAAGCTCCACTAGCAGAATAAAAATCTTACTGGTTCCCAACCTTTTAGCTTGTGATCCTTCTTAATGTGAACTAAGGCTTAAATGATTCGTTTATTAATCTGTTAGTCCATTCACAAAGAACAATTTTGATAGTTGATTGCTGTCATGTTTCATACATAAATGCCATATATTTTTTAAATTCCTGCTGGGCCAATAGGAAGATTGGCTGCTTTTCTGTCTTTTCCTTAATGGCATGGTTTTGGACTCTTGGTTAGACAAATTCAACAATAGGAGGATGTCTGATTATTTGTAGTTTGGGAAATTGTTATGGCCATTATCTTCTGAAATTTCGTAGACCAATTATTAGATGACAAAAAACCACTGCAGCCCATGTGTGTCTGCCCGATCTCTTACATTTTCATTTGAAAGACTGTTAGAGGCCTAAAGAGATGAAAGCATCCAGTATCTGAGAAGAAAAAAAAACCCCGATCCCGACCTCAGGTTGGGAACCACTTTATTAAAGGATTACTATGCCTTTGAAATTACATATAGTGTTTAATGACCAGCATGTTCATGTACAGAGAGCATACCTGCGGTCTACACGGAGAAATGGCCCGGGGTTTCAACGCGGCTGTCCCTCACCGGCTGTCCTTTCTCCTCCGGACTCCAGGAAGCGGTGGCTTCTCCCGATCCAACCCGGAGCTGTCATCGCTGTGGACCAGCTGCACGCAACGGCGGAGGAGTACCTATGTTCCCCGGCGTCCTCGAGCAGCCAAGCGCGGCGTGGATCCAATGAATCTCCGGTCACTGGCTCGAGCCAAATCTTCGCGCACGGAGGATACTGTTCTTCAGTTGGCACTGATCAATGTTAGATCCTTGACTAACAAGACTTATGTTAAATGACCTCTTTTTGTCCCGGGAGCTTGACTGCATGCTTCTTTTGGAGACGTGGCTTCAACCCGGTGAGTGCTTCCCCTTCTCAGAGCTTCTTCCTCCGGCATGCTCTTTCTTTAGCTCTCCTCGAACCACGGGAAAAGGCGGAGGGCTAGCGACAGTTTTTAAAACCAGTCTTGACTGTAGAAAAACCCCATGTGAACAATACAAGAGCTTTGAGCTGCAACTCTTCGAAATTAACCTTACTTAACAGTGTTATGCGCGCTCATTTACCGCCCTCCTAAATTTAACAAGGATTTTATTAAGGACTTTTCGGCGTTCGTGGCAGACATTGCTCTTAATTATGATCATTTTGTAATTGTTGATGATTTTAATATTCACGTTTTTTGTGTTTCTTCTAAGCCTTTGGTCAAGGACTTTTTTTAAACATTTTAGATTGTTTTAACCTTACTCAGTCTGTGAACTGCCCGACCCATAACAAGGGACATTTTTTGGACCTGGTCTTGTCCCATGGCCTAAATCTGTCCATAAAGGACATTTCTGATGCAGGTATTTCTGACCACATGCCTGTCTTGTTTTCTGTTTCTTTGCCGTGCCCTCAAAGCAAAGCGTGCATTCCCATGCGTCAGCGGCGCGCAATTAATCCATCTACAGCTTCCCTTTTAGCTGCAGCGTTCGACACCTCTCCTTTAATGTCCCTGGATGCCTCCTTTTCAAATTTGGACATTGATGAGCTGAGTTGGAGTTGACTCCACGTGCATAGAAATCCTTGACTCAATAGCACTGTTTATGCACAGGAGCTCAAACTCAAATGGAGAGCCATGGCACAATGACACTACTCGTGCTTTCAGAAGGAAATGTCGCCATGCTGAGAGTAAATGGAAAAAAGACAAACTTCATGTGTCTCTGGGGATTTTAAGAGACTGTTTGTCTAACTACCAGTACGCTGTCAAAGCTGCAAAGACTCAGTATATGTCAAACCTTGTGCAAAACAACTGTCACTAAGCTCATGTCCTTTTTAATGTTTTAAATAGGATAATCAATCCCCCTGAACATCCTGGCATTATTCCTAGTGCCCTTCTGTGTGACAGATTGTGTAAATTCTTCACTGATAAGATGTCCATTATCCGGGCCTTAACCCTTTGTGTTGCGCCAGATCCCAGTATTATACCTTTATGTTCAGCTGTTTTTGAAGATTTTTTGTCAATACCTTTGTCTGACTTGTCAAAGACGGTCCAAAATTTAAGACCCTCAGTCTCCTCATTAGACAGCCTTCCAGCCAAGCTTTTTAAAGATGTTTTTGACTCTGTTGGGCCTTGTATTTTAAATTTGATAAACATCCATCCATCGTCAACCGCTTATCCTGCATACAGGGGGGCTGGAGCCAATCCCAGCTTGCATCGGGCTAAAGACGGGGTGCACCCTGGATAGGTCGCCAGTCCATCGCAGTGCCACACATAGACGAACAACCACTCACGCTCACATTTAAGGACAATTTAGGGTCACCAATTAACCTAGTCCGCATGTCTTTGGACGGTGGGAGGAAGCCGGAGCACCCTGAGAGAACCCATGCAGACACGGGGAGAACATGCAAACTCCACACAGAAAGGCCTCCTGAAAAAGCACAATTTGGACCCCTCTGCTTTGTCCAACTACAGGCCAGTTTCTAAGCTTCCTTTTTTATCTAAAGTTCTAGAAAAAGTGGTATATGCCCAACTTCAATTGCACCTTAATTCAAACAACATCTTTGAAAAATTCCAGTCTGGTTTTAAATCTTGTCACAGTACAGAAACTGCTCTTTTAAAAGTTTTTAATGATCTTCTTTTAATTTCTGATTCTGGTAGCTCTGCTGTGCTAGTTCTTTTAGATTTGACTGCAGCGTTCGATACGGTTGACCACAAGATTTTATTGTCCAGACTCGAGTCCTGTGCAGGCATTAAAGGCACAGCTCTGAAGTGGTTTCAGTCATATCTGACAGACAGGTCTTTTTCTGTAAATCTCGGGCCTTTTTACTCAAACAAAGCCCCGATTGACAGCAGGGTGCCTTAAGGCTCAATTTTAGGCCCAGTCTTGTTCTCGCTGTATATGCTGCCCCTGGGATCAATCTTCCAAAAATACATTTCCTTTCACTGCTTTGCAGATGACGTCCAAATTTACCTACCTTTGAATACCAAAACAAACTCAGTTGAAGCACTGAGAAAATGTCTACATGAAGTAAAAGACTGGATGTCACTGAATTTTTTTAACTTAAATGACAAAAAACTGAAGTTGTAATTTTTGGGGAGCCCGATGTCTTTGGTTTTAACAGTGCTCTTGGCCCAATATCCTCAAACTGCTGCCCATTTGTAAAAAGTCTTGGTGTTTTTATTGACAGATCTTTTAAACTCGATAAACAGATTAGCTCAGTGGTAAAAACAAACTTCTTTCAGCTCAGACTTCTTGGGAAGGTCAAGCCTTACCTGCCCCCTAGCCAACTGGAAAAAGTAGTGCATTCCCTGATCACAAATCACCTGTACTATTGTAACTCATTGTACTGTGACCTTGATCAGTCTTCAGGCACCATCGTATTTATCTGATATGCTTATTTTGCACACTCCAGTCAGAGCACTTAGGTCTACTGACCAGTTGCTTTTAGACTGTCCAAGGTCCAGACTGAAAACCAGAGGGGACAGAGCTTTTTCAGTAGCAGGTCCTAAGCTCTGGAACTCTCTTCCTCTCAACATTAGAGCAGCTACCTCTATTGAGAGCTTTAAATCACTTTTAAAAACACATCTTTTTGCACTGGCTTTTAACACATGCTGAGCTGTGACATTTTATTGTTGTTATTGCTTTAAATAGTTTTTATCTGTTGTCTGTTTTTGGCATATTCTGTTTTAGAAGGGTTTTATTCGGCTATTTATTATGCTTTTTATCGTATGCTGTTCTCTGTATCTGTAC